AGCGTTTGCATACGATTACAATTCTTTTCAGATTTGGACGTAGACCGCTATTTTTCTTCAGCCTGTGCTTCGCCATCTTTGTATCTATCATTATGGCATTCTCACCAGTCTATGCTGTGTTCGCTTTATGTCAGTTTCTAATTGGAATTGCAGTAACTGGTATATATGTTGTTGGATTTGTCATTGGTGAGTTTATCATTGATTCGGGAATGAGTTACTGTTGTATGTACAGTGATATGCCTTAGGTATGACCCCCTCAAGGTAACACAGCCTGGTACCTTCTGGGAGCTTTGTTGATCAATAATATTAACTCAATCTTACCCAACGACGGTACTCAATAACTGCTTATATTTCACTTGGAAGTGAATATATAAATAGTCTTTGATAGAATATTTATACGCCTAGACAGTACCAGGATGTGTGACGTTTTAAATGGTATAAATATTATAGGACTCAAATGAATTAACCCTTATCTGGTCAAGTCAATGCAAAAGTACACGTAGCATGCAGGATATGTCTTAATTCATATATTTTGGGGCACTGCATGAATGCAGATTGTAGCGGTAAGCCAATTTCCATGTATTCACAATTGTTGGTGGAGATGGGGCAATAGCCATAAATTAATTGAAAAACGAGACACGTATATGAAGGACATGATAATTTAATTTTCACTGAAGGAGCGTATTTGAATCAGACATGCAAGGATCACGATGCTAGCCATTCGTGTGCGTGTCACTCCAGAACATGCAAGCCATGTGTATAGCATTGATGTGTAATGTGGTTGGGTTATATAGCTCATTTGGGTAGAGATGAGGTACACAGGAAGTAGACGTAGACCCAGATACAGTAAACACCAAATAGAGGGGTTGGTTCTTGTCGTATAAAACATGTTTTTCAGCCAAGCTTAAACATAGCATGAATTACATACACTAATCATGATTCTAAACGCGGTGATAACTTGATATCGAACCGCCTTTGAGAACACGCAAATAATTTCTTCATGCTTTGTAGTTTTGTAACAGTAACACAACATATAATATTTTACGATTCGTATATATATTCACACAGGAATTGAGTTAGTAGGACCAAAGAAGCGTGACATGGCTGGCATATCAATATGTATATTCTATGCTTTGGGATACATGGTTTTAGCAGTTCTTGCAAGATCAGTGGATGGTAACTGGCGCCATCTTGAATTCTTAATTGCAATGTTGACAGTGCCATTCATTTCATATTACTGGTGAGTAATTTCAGTCCACGTTCGGACGTATTCCTGGAGAAGGGGACTTTTGAATATTTGACTTTTGCGTGCATTCTGCTTAGTAATTTCTCAAGTCTATTTTGAAATGTTATCTAGGCTAATACCAGAGTCTGTCCGATGGTTGATGCAGCAGAGCAAATACCATGAGGCAGAGAACATTCTTCGAAAAGCTGCCAAGATGAATAAAGTTATCCTTCCAGATAATGTGTTGGAAGACGAGAAAAAGTCACAAAAGAAAGAAGACACGACAGAAGATCAGGTAATTTAGTATGTACCATAATAATCCTGCATGTTTTGTTTCTGATATTGTTAATGATTGTTCTGATGTTCACTATTCACAGATAAAATATACAATGTTGGATCTGTTAAAACACAGGAATCTAAGATGGCGTACGATCAACATAAGTTTCACTTGGTGAGTTTAATTATTTTAGTAGTTATAATTATATTGTGTAAAAGTATGGCTATGCCGTTGCTTGAAAATGTAACTTTTTTATATAAAATGTAGGATGTCCACTTGTAATGAGATAATCTGAAAGTGTTTGCTGGGTTACATAGAATCAATACATATATGTGCAATTTCGCAATAACATATTATATAACTTATGTATCCTGAACCTAAAATAATTTTGGTTCTGATGTGAAATATAATGTGATATGTCTCGTCTACATGAACATTGAGTTTTTATTTATTTTGTAGGTTTGCGAACAGTTTCGTTTATTATGGGTTGTCTGTCAGTGCAGGTTCGACCTCCGACAATCCGTATGTCAGTTTCTTCCTGTCTGGTGCAGTGGAAATTCCAGCCTATCTTGTCACATGGTATTTATTAGATAAAGTCGGCCGGCGATGGATAATCTGCGTATTCATGGTGTTTGGTGGTGTGGCATTGATTGCAACGGCACCATTGAGTAATACATGTAAGGTTATTTTTACCCATTAAACTAAGAATTTACGTGGATTGAGTTACTATTCATTTGTTAATGAGTATACTGAAACTGGCAGTATACCATATATTATATACATATATTATATGTTTCGGCAAAATCAATACAGATTGTATGTATTTTTGTGTCTGAATCAATCTTACTAATAAA